TGTATGCACTTTTGGAATTGCTTGTTGCTTTTTGTTCACACCTTTGTTTTATATGTACTCATTTCCCCTTTCAACCAGAAATTTCTTCTTTTTTATAATCATATGGTTAGTATTTTCAGTTTGTTCATTATAAAATGTATCAAGAACTAAATCATAGAATTATAAAAAATATATTTAACATACAAAGTCAGTAAAAATACATTTCTCTAGAAAGTGGCAACATTTATGTTTGTAATTCTAAACTATTTTACATTTTAATACACTACACAGTCAAAGAGCAGTTGTCATTAAACAGGTGGAGGCAGGAGGATTCCAAGATCAAATCCAGGTTGGACATCTTGGAGCCTGTCTCAAAAATTAAAAAGTAAATAAATAAAAAAAAAGGTGGAGTGAAGTTCAATGAAATGTCCCTGGGTTTGCTCTCCAGTATTATTAAAAAGAAAAAGTTAAAAAGATCACTCTCGTACACTGATTACATGATCTGAAAGGTCTTTTCATATAAATTTCAGTGGTTCACAGTAAAATGGGAAATACTTGGTGTACTGTCATTGCACATTTCTTTAAAAGGTTACTGTGTACTCCAAAGCTGAACTGTATCTTTCCACAAGCAGGTTTCTAAAGAAACATTCACTATAACAAACAATTCACTAATAAGTGTAAAATAATTAAGACTTCAAAATTAAGGGTCAAAAAAGATACCAAACCAAAGTCTTGCTTTTCTGTGATCTTTGACAAGTTACTTAATCTCTCAAAAGCTCAGTTTCTTTCTAACAAAGCTACCTTCATCAGAGCTCTAAAGATAAATGAAATAAAAACGGTGTAGCATAAAATCTCAATAAATGGCAGCCAGCATTACAATTGTTACATACATTATCGGACAACTGGTCTTAAGAAGGATGAAGGCAATGAAACTGCTTAGTTCTACTAAGCTAAAATGCACATTCACTAAATTTGGCCCAAAATTATTGTAATTTTATTACAAATTACCAAAGAGCATCAATTAGATTTTCAATCATCCTAACTTGAAAATACAAATTTTTCCATACACACACATTTTCATCTTGGCCTCTTCATTTTTAACACACACCAGATGTAACTAGTTTTTTCTTTTAATTTTCTTTAAATGCAAATGAGCAAGCAATAGATTAAGGAGTGCAATTAATTTCATTCATATGTAAACTGGCCCATACTGCTTCTCTGATTTCATTTTGTAAAGAATCTACCTAATTTAATCATAATATAATAAAATATGAATATGTTAACATTATAAAGAAAAGGGTATAAATCTATATAGCTTTATAAAAAATCTGTCTATCTCTGTTCGTCTGTGTCTGTCTCTCTCTCTCTGCCACAGAGCTATCTCCCTGGCCCTAGCTTTTTTTTAATAGAAGACAAATGGAGTACATTTTTTGAGGTCACACTTATTATATTTGATATTTTTATAACAAGTACAGTACTCCTTTTGTAATCTTTAAACGAATACTTGCCCTATTTAACAATTTCATTAAGAAAACATAGGAATCAACATATCACTGCCACTACAAACATCTTTTTATTTTTCTTCCATATTCCTTCGTGATCTTTATTTTACCTTCTCAGCCTACTTTTAAAGCATAAAAAGCAGAAGTACTGAAATCTCATACACAGCTTCTTTGAAAAATAAAGCCACATTTTATTTAGACTATAAACTTTATGTCAGGCTAGTGTTTTTTTCTTACCAAGTTTAAGATTCTTGAAGAAATCCAATACAGAGAGAAAAAATTTCTAATATTAACATATAACTGCCACAATCCAATCCTGGAACACGACTGACCTGATTTCTCTGCTCCTGACTGACTGAGAGAATAATGCCCTCGATTCAACTCTGAAAGGGGAAACCAAAGCCAGTTCCTTCACCTTACTCAGCACTGCTCCCGTTTTTTTCCTCCCTCATTCATGAAGCAGGTTATCAGTTTAAAACTTTCGATTTTACACTACTATTTCGGTTAATTTTTTCCCCTTCAGGAAACACAATCTGAAAAAAGGCTAGGAGGTCTGAGGGGGCACCAGTCTGAGAGATATTTCTATAATTAAATTTTAAAAAGGATCTGTGTGAAAACCTCATATTAAAACATTTTCTAATTGTGAAAGGTTTTTTCTCCTTTTGTACGGTTTAAAACTGTAAGAAAAAAAATCCAAGTATTAACTGAGATCTTTTTGATACAATGATCAACTTCATGTTCCTAACAGTATAAGAAAAGGGGTAAGAAAAAAGTAAATGACAAAAAGAACATCATTTTACACTCAGCAAATGTTTTCCTTTGAGACTTAGGTGTCTGTTTATGTGAAAGTAAAACTTCAGAAAAGTTCCATAGAAGTTGCTCACTCCCATAAATAAATACTGTGTGACAAGCATAGAATCCTTCAACTATTCTCACATGTACGATCGTTTACCTTCACAAATAGCCCTGTGAAATGGGCAGAGCAGGCACTACCATCCCTATACTACAAAAAACTACTGGCCTGTAACTTCTCTACTACTTCTACATGATCAAGGATAATACCATTAAAGCCCCAAAGACCTTCGTGTTAAAATTCTTTATTTTACAGATGAAAGAGAAGGATGTTCAGGAAATCACCTATGCTGGTTCAATCCCCCAGCACCACATGCCAGCCAGCCCCGTCCCCTGGTGGGCTGAGCTGGCCACACACACACACACACACACACACATAAATAAAATTAAAAAAAAAAAAAAGGAAATCACCTATGCAATGTTACTGAACTCACAGGGACAGCATCAACAGTGGGGTACACGGCTCCTAACTTTTGGCTTTGTTAATTTCTCTCAAAAGGGTTTAAGATCACTGTTTCAATGAGTGGCATAACTAAACTTAGAAGAAGATGTATATTTTAATAAAAACTGTAAGGAATTAAGGAAAGAAAATATAAAACTACTTATTTTATCTCCATCTTTTATTTAAAATGTCCCCTTCTGAATTATATCCTCAAATCACAAGTTCCCTAAGATTCTCACAACTTGTAAATAATCAGGTCTCAAATATTTTGACTGATGAATTAAAAAACATTTTTCATAAGCCAATGTTAACACTCCTAAGCGTCGGAGCATATAATTAACTATAATAACCTAATTTACATAGCTCATTATTTTTCTTTGTGCTCATTAACATCATTTCCATAGTAGACAGATCAAGTACCCCAAATTAGAACACCCAAAAACTGAAATGCTCCTAAATCCGAAACTTTTTGAGTGTCTACATGATATCACAAGTGGCAATTCCACGCCTAACCTCACGTGATATGTCACAGTCAAAAGTAGCTGCTCTAAAAAACACTGCATTAGATTTTTCTCAGGCCAAATGTATACGATGTGTATGAAACACAGTCATGGTTAAAGTTGGGTTCTATCCCCATGACATCTGATTACACACACACACATACATACATGTACGCGCAAATATTCCAAAATCTGAAAAAAAAAAATCTAAAGTCAGAAATATTTTTGTCCTAAATATTTCAGATAAGAAATACTCAACCTACATGTACCTCCACTAAAATAGAGCCAAAACTCAAATTTGGTAGACAACCTAATGCATAAATGCGTTAATAAAAATGTCATAATTGGTTAGTTGCCAGACTGTATTATGAGGTGGAAAGTTTTTGAAAGAAAATAAGCAATTCAGAGGAAAGATTACAGTCTATATTGCCATAAAAATCCAGAAAGCAATGAACCTTATAAACACATGGTGAACAGATCTTACTTCTTTGGCAAGATATTTGAACAAATGTTTCAATCCCTAACCAGCTGGGAAAATTTAACAGTCGTACAGACAATTCCATAGGCTGAAAGATCCAAAAATCTATCTAATGCACTTATACACAAAATTATGCAAGGGAAAGAAACCAAAATCTATTAGAGTAACACACTTGATGTTCTTGCTCTCCTCTCACTGCCCAGATCAAACTCATATAATCAAGCAAAGTATGCAAAATATTTCTCAAAAAGCTATAATTGTACAGTAAGTACTGAAGTGCACTACTTCATTAACTCAAGATACTTGAAGATAACAAGGATCACATCCAACCTATTTTAAGTTTCAGTAGTTAATACAAGCGTTTAACGTTTCTCAAAACAGGAAATGAAAAAAAAAATTGCTTTACAAAAAGGCACCAAACTGGAATTAAGAGTTCAAATGCTTAGAATTTAGGTTCATCTTATTTGAGTATTAAATTCTGACTGCACTTACACTATAAAAATGTCTAACGGCTACTTAAAAAAGGTATTTTGCCCAAATACCCAAATCACTTTTGATGTTACTCTCACTTCCTCTTCTGGAAACCATCATAACCATTTCCTTTAACCACAATACCACAGATCTAGTAACTTCCAGTAATGTTTGACTTGCTCGTTTTTTTAAACAAACTGCACATGCAGCTTAATCTCATCCAAAAACTCAGGTCAATACAACCTTTAAGTAATACTACCTAAAATTAAATTATTTCCAACCAATAAAAAATTATGATCAAGGCGCCTTGTGAACGCAGGACACTCAATAACACTGAACACCTGCCACATAAAACCAGGTAGAACGGAATAGGCCTGCTACAAGTACCTGCCTTCAGGTAAGCAACGAATTTGAAAGTTATGAACTTGGGACAGCCTTTAGAATTGTCACTCTAAACTGTGAAAACTGTACAAACTTAGACAAGTGTCTAAATCAAACTGCACAAATTAATCAATCTTTACCCTCGAACCTAAAATGAATTTAATTTAAAAATCTTTAATAGTCCTAACACAACCTATGATCTACAGTTCTACAATTAAGTTGATAGGTACATTCATGATATATTAAAGCCAATAAAAACACGAAGATCTGACACCAAATATATACTGGAAAGATCTATTTAGACAGTACCTTCCCCCCACAAATCTCTATCAAATAGTCTATTAAATCTCTATTAAATTTTCTCTTATATTATTTAAAAAGTGACCTTGTCTTACAAATAGGGTTGGGTCCTCTTCTATGAAATTAACGTCATTGTTTTCTATCTTTACATCCACTTTCCTTAACTGCAAATTCAGCCTTCCCCTCTTTAATCTGAAGACCTGCACTGCACATTTTGCGGGGGTCGATTGCTGTAGTTGCTCAAATGACCCGACTGCGTTAGGTGTCAGGTGTAGCAGCAACATACTTCGTCCTTACTTCAAGAAATGGTGCTTAGGTTCCCGGTCGGAAAAAGTCAAAATGAGGAGCAGGCAGCGACAAGGTGGTTATTCCTGTTCTAGTGACTCACAGCCCGCAAGTATTTCCGAGGACAACTGGATCCACCCTCGCTTCCCCTCCGCTCCATCTCCCCAGTGAAGGGACCCCAAATCCTCGCCGCGCCCGCTCCGGAGCGGCTCTAGGAATCCACAACCAAGCGGCGGCGCGAGAGGGCCGGGGCTGCTCCGAGGGGGAGCGGAGGGTGCAGCCCGGCCACCCCGCCGCCCGCCGCCCGGGGCCTGGCCACCTCGACCGCCTCGGTCGCCAAGTTTCCAAACAGCTCGCCCGCGAGGTCGCCCCCCGCGACCCCTGACCGCGGGCGACGGCGTCGAGGTCTCCGGGCTCC